AATGTCTGTCATTACAGGGCCAATCAAAAACAGCAAGTATCTATGTAATTTATTTATTTCATATGAATTATCTTAATATGTAGTGACCATAGACTGTATATATTAACGGACGTAGTCACACCTATCTCCGCTGTTCTCACTAATGGGCCAAAAATTGTGCTTTACTGGAGCTATCCAAAATGGCCACGAGTGGTAAATTGTGAAAAAACGCATCTGCGCATGCGTCAGCCAGCGCGCTCCATTCATTTAAACGAGTGTCTTCAAAGATTCACAGCGGGTAAACTAGAGTGGTCCAAAAAATGCACCCCCCTCAGCATTGACACACATGTGGAACGGAGCTTTGGGCCAAGAGCCAACTTTTGGACATCCTGTGAAGGTGTTTTTGAGAGGTCTGCCAATGCTATATGTTAGCATTGGCTAATTCTCATTCCGGGTCCACCCCCATCGGGGTGGTATTGCAAGCATGTCAGCGCACGTCATTTTGGCCACTTTTGAGATAAAAATGGTAAAATCTGTGTGACTCCTTTTTTAATTAAGACATGCACCAAACTGCACAGACATTACTAATTTTTGTCTTACAACTTTCTGCTTCCCTTGAAAAACATTTCTGAAGCTTCAAAAAATACATTATACCGAAATCAACTAGGCAACTAGTAACAGGCAACTAGTAACAGGCAAAGATAACGCTCTGGAGGTTTTAGAGCCTCGTCAGACTTACACCTATTCTTACTCAAGAGGTGGATATTTGTGATTTATGTAAAGAAAAAAACATTTTGAGAAGACACGGCTCATTTGTATCTAAAAAAGGTTCTTAAAACATGGACTGGAAGACCCAATGAATGCTTCAGTAGGTTCAGACTGAGTGTCATGGTGTGGATATTATTTTTGTATTTTTGTTTTATTTTGAAATTGGTTTTCTGTGGTTTGGTTTTAGTTTTGCCTCTCTGTCTTGTTCCCCAGTCTTGATTGTCTGCCCCGCCCTGATGTGTTTCACCTGTGTCTCTGTGTGTCTATATGTACCCTGTACTTCTCTCCCCTTGTTGCTAGTCCATTGTATTGTCAACGTCTTGTCCTTGTCTGCTCCTGTGTCCTTGATTCTTGTGCCTTTGGATTTTGAGTTTTACCTGGGCTTTAATTTTGTTATCATTAAATAATTATTTTTTGGCATTCCTGCATTTTGGGTCCTTCCTGCATTTCCAACACATGACACTGAGGCTCATATCAAAGGCTATTTCTGACAAGACAGAGATCGATTAATCTTATTTTATAACTAATAGGCGCATTGAGTTATCAATCCCATATTACTACATAGTACTGGTTATGAAATAAAATGGAGCTTAGGACAGAATCTAAAATAATCATGTTTGTCTTAAGTGAATATTCTTGGACACTAAGATGGTACCGTTATCCTCTGTAATGTAATTAAGTCAAGTACTTAAGTCATGTAATTAAGTACAGTAAATTAAGAACTATAAAACAACAAAATCAGTTGAGTGTTTTTTTTAAGTTCCATGTACATCAAAACAATATCCAGTGTCACTACAAAGAATTTTCTAACTTATCATTCAATGTTCATTCATTATCGTAATAAGTAATTTGAGGAAAAGTTGTGTTGTAGATTCTGTAAATCTAAACAAAATAGCAAGAATGTGTGAGAACCACTGGCTTTTTTACTTTAAAGACGGGCAGCGAGACATCACAGCAGTATCAAGGCCAGGGCACATTTGTATCCAGCCCATCACTCTGTACGTTTTGGGTTTGAGATTTGCACAGTTATATTTTATTAATAAGTGGAATTAATTTGTTAATAATGCATAAGCTGGAGATGAAAGACTTGCCCAGTGTCAGGGAAAAGGAAGTTCTCAAAAAAGTGTGTTAAGGCATATACACCAGTAAAGATATAATGCAATTCTCTTTTTCAAGGCAATCAATGACAATGTTTAACAGGTTTGGTGACTATTTTAGTCTGTGATTTATGTTGTATTTCTTGGCTGCAAACATGAAAGATATGACTTTATGAATCATTTTTTGTGGTAATAATTAAGACAGATAAATCATTAAATTAATTAAAATTGTGTTTAAACCTTAATCTCCAAACAGCTCCCTGCAGTTGCACTATGTGACCACACAGGGGCAGAAGAGGCAGTGCTCTGTCAGTCTGCTTTGAGAAGGCTTATAAACTATCATTAAGTCACTGCTCACAAATTGTATTTTGATATGCAAAACGTTTTTTAAACGCATATTATATGCTGTTTTAATCTTAATATCAGTAAATATGGCACATTAGGGCCTTTAATATTCTTAAGAGATTATCACTCCGCGCTCATCGCCCGTGTGCCTATGCAGAGCTGGGCTTTTATCAAATATTAATTTTTCTAAACTTGCTCTTTTAAGTCGCTGCTTTGATGTGGATGTAATTTTTCACAGACTAAGCAGTTCTCACAGTGGTTCTTCTGCAGTTATGATTCATTAATGAGGTGCATGGAGCCAGAGCTTGTCCTTATAACAGACATTTATACGGAAAAATGATCTGCAACATTATAAAGCAGGAAGAACAGGCCATATTAACTCCATTAGAATTCCCTTTTTTTAATCTGCTGTATGATGGTATGAATGCAACTAGGGCCAAGTCTCCAAAGAGCCTCAAGATGAACAACAACTACAACACAAAGATTGTTGGTTGGTTGTTAGTTTTAAGGAGGAAAACATGCACATCCCAATGATCACTACTCTGGAGCACGGGGACTGGCCTCCTGCTGGCACTCTGAGGAGCACAGGGACTGGCCTCCTGCTGGCACTCTGAGGAGCACAGGGACTGGCCTCCTGCTGGCACTCTGAGGAGCACAGGGACTGGCACTCTGAGGAGCACAGGGACTGGCCTCCTCAGAATGCCCAGAGTCAGGACTAAACATGGAGAGGTCCTGCCAACCTGCTCCCTCTACTGCCCACATTGCTATTTTCATTATTAACGCAAGTTTTGTTGAATCCAACAGCCTCCATCTCTGCTTTGGGGTTCAGCAACCGTGATAGCTATTCGCATGCACTTTAGTTCAACTTTTGCAAAATCTGCTTCCATCAGAGTTTTATCATTTAGAACACCAAATTGTGGTTGCCCTGCAGGGACACATACTGCACGAAAGTATATTTTTCTAAATGTGTTCAGTGCTACACGGTCAAAGGCATTTAACCACAATTTCTACACACAACTTTACTTTAATTTGCCTTGTGTCATCTCCCAAAAAACTCATGTCCATTTTTATACATCCAATTAGGCCAGCACTGAAAGTGTATAAGGCTACCATTTCTTTCCCTTTAAATTCTCCTTTTTCACAGTAGTGGAGTTGGAGTCAGGGAATTGATCTTTTTGTAAACACGCTAAAAGCAAGACACAAATTGCCAAGATGCGGCGTGGTTTTTCTTTCATGTTTGCTGCCTCACTTTGGGGGCCGAGTGCCGCCAATAACAAACGAGAAAATACTCAAAGACCTGGGGCGAGTTATATAGGCTGATTAGCTTTGTACACTGGAGACGCATGGCTCCGGCTTGTTTCTCACAACATATTAAAGACTAAAGTTTCGCTATAATTTGTTGCCTTCACAAGCACAATTTATTCATTCATTGTCGTCTGATGTTGCATGTGGATTGGTTCAATAACGCTACTTTGCCTCTTGTGAATGGGCTAGAAAGAGAATGGTGAATGACCCGGGATTTGTTCTTAAGTTAATGCATTAGCACAAAAGGAATAACAAATACAAGACCCCCACTGCGTCTTGTTACGAGTGGCCCCATAAGGAACAGTTTTGAGTTCTGGAGTAAACTTTTGCCCTAATGGGATAATTGATTGACAGTCTGTGAGTGTAATTGAGAGGCTGTTGGGTCTTAGGGCCGCCTTGCCATCGGGGAAATCAGGCAGGATTAGATACTCGCTTGTCTGGGAGCTGGATCCACTGAACTGCACAACTCTGGCGCTAATTTGGTGTCATGGCGGCATTAAGTTACAGCTGCTGTCCTTTGATTAGTTCGCTGACCCATGTTATTTGACTCAGGTTGAAATACTTTGTCAACTCAACACTGGGAAAAGTTGGTGTGTTGTTCAAACCCGTGTCAGCATTTCACAAGGAAACATATTTTTTATTTATACAACGATTAAACAATTGTTTTTATTTACAGTAGTTTATTTGAATTAGAACAAATTCATGCAATCATCCAGATTGACTTAAATTCAAATACAAAACATACAAAAACTGTACACTAGCAACAGCACCCTCTAGAGTCCACCACCTTCAACTGTCATCCAAAATACAGACACACTCACTCTATTTGTTTTGTGGCTCAGGTTGTTCTATGTAAATTATTTAGTATACTGTGTTTTTATCTACATTGATTGGTTTCTGGAATGATACAATAAATAGAATAGAATAAATTTACATGTTGTTAATTTGTATGCCACAATAATAAGTAATCAAGGCAAACATGCAGTGCCGTCTACTTTTAAGGCTTAAAGATTTCTCTTGTCACTGCGTACCGTTTTGGACAATATTGCTCCTTTGCCGAGATCCGTATTTACCCATCCCTCAGACACCCTGCGCCCCTTCATTCTCAGCCTTTGCTCAAGCTCCAGGGACTTTCCTAAATCAAAACTGCCAAATTTTCTCCTCCCATTATCCACTACACCCTGCACTGTAGGACTGACCGCGTGCTCCAGGACCCCATTTTGAACCAGGACTACGCCATGTAAGTTGGGTCCTTGGTTTCCAGTCGAAAGTAATTGATCGTGGACTTGGGGTTGGACCACGTAATGCATGGGTGAAAGTACTGGGGAGGTTATGTAGTAAAGTGGCTGAGGCTGGTGCACCAAGACATGCTGAACAACTGGCGGGCTAGGAAAAATGTTTTTGCTGATTGTGTTTTGATTTTGCATGCTTTGAATAGAAGACTTTTCATTTGAAGTCATTTGAATTGTTTGCGGGACAATGTTTGACAGTTTTGAGTTTTGAACATTATCTAGAATCGATGTTTTGGATGTAGTTTTCGAGATGGCAGAAGTTGGCACTGATGGCGCTTTAGAGAGATGGTTGAAATGTTTTGTTGTTGGGGAGGCGGCTGAGATAGGTGGAGACGGAGGGCGAGGAGGAGAGCAGATTTCAGCTAGTGTCTTAAACTTTGGGTCGAGGTCATTCAGAAACTCTAGGTCGTCATGGGACCACGGGAAACTGCAGGTGCTCAGGGATCCCTCGGAGGATCCTTGTCCTTCCCGCTCAAAATTCAACATTCCATCTTGTGTGATGTCCTTTAGAGCAAAGTGAGCCGCCTTCTGTAGAGAAACAAAACAAGTCAACAATGATGAGAACATGCATCCACTGATAGTATTTTCTAAAGCTGATTAATCAAACTATTATGTGTCTCACCCTGTTGCATCCCCCTGTGTCAACTCCCTTAACTAATTCCGTTTGGTCATGAGATCTTAGACTTCTAAATATAGGTCTTGATTTATTGGGCTGGTCATTGTCGCCACCATATCAAGAATACGCTTTGTATATGTATCTCTTGGTCACAATCATTATCAATGTACATCTTGTCTAGTATGAATGAGCTTCACAAGAGTATGTTTATAAAGACATTGGGCCTCATTCACGAAAAACTTCGTAAGAAACTTCTTAAATTTCTTCTCAAGTCGTTCTTCAGTAGATTTCTAAGAAGACCCTACGTGGGATTCATCAACGCACTCGTAAGCCGCTGAATTGTTCGCAGCTGTTCTCTCAGATTGATGAATACCAACTCCTCGTAAGTAGAGCGCGCGTGCCAGGTGCTTCATTAGCATAGGTACTTAGCATAGGTAACCGCCCATTAATGCCCATATAAGGGACTGCAGGGCCGCGTGCAGACGCCAGAGGAAACAGCAACAGGCCTAAAGCAAAGAGTTACACGCATGGATGTATTATATTAACTGGATAGGGTATTACTAGCTTGTAGCTGAATAACCCATGTGCTCGGGGGATTCTCGCGGTACTGCAGTCTGAACCAGACTAAATTCACGTGGGCTACCCAGAAATTTTCCCCATAGAACTCAATGCAAATTAAAACAGCTCAACCTCAGCTGACAGAGAACCTACAGCTTTCATAAAGGTCGGATTTTGTGGGGATTTTAGTGTCCCTTGTCATCCTGAACTTTTTTTCTTCTTAAATCCTTCGGTTTTGTTTAAATCCACACTTTAGTGCCACAAACTCTGCCCGTCTGGCTCTCGCTCTAACTCCCGCTCTGATGAACTGCTCTGATTGGTCAGAGCGCAGCCGAGCCCCTCTGTGCACGTGCGTGAGACCCGGTGTGAGACCCACACACGCGTGTTTGGCGCAACGCATTATTGGAGATCATCCACTGCGCAGAACCGGGAGGACCAGACGATGCCCAAATACAGGCGAGTTTCCCATAGATCTTTGCGAGTTTCCCATAGATCTTTGTGAGTTTCAGGCAACTTCCGCTAATCTTTCAGCCCCCATGCCGTCACAAAGCACCACTGAGCACAACCATTCATTTGAATAGAGCGCCATCTTGGATCGCCGGGGCTTGGTTACACGGAGCAAAAGAGTCACCCTTTTTTCTTCTTTTGCCAGACTAGGAATAAAGTCATAAACTGTTGATTTAAAAGTCAAAATATTTTGAGAATAAAGTCGAACTAGCAAAATGATGAGATTAATCTCAAAATGTTATGAGATTAATTTAAAAATATATTGTGTTTTAATTTAAATATGAATCTCAAAATGTTATGAGATTAATCTAAAAGTATTTTGGACCCTGAGAGGAGATCCAGCGCTGAGACCAATGCAGACCCGAGGAGAGACTGGAGAGACCAGCACACAGAAACCAGAGCGGACCGAGGAGACACCGCATCGACTGAGACCAGCGCGGACCGAGGAGAGACCGCATAGACTGAGACCAGTGTGGACCGAGGAGAGACCGCATAGACTGAGACCAGCGCGGACCGAGGAGAGACCGCATAGACTGAGACCAGTGTGGACCGAGGAGAGACCGCATAGACTGAGACCAGTGTGGACCGAGGAGAGACCGCATAGACTGAGACCAGTGTGGACCGAGGAGAGACCGCATAGACTGAGACCAGCGCGGACCGAGGAGAGACCGCATAGACTGAGACCAGCGCGGACCGAGGAGAGACCGCATAGACTGAGACCAGCTCGGACCGAAGAGAGACCGCATAGACTGAGACCAGCGCGGACCGAAGAAAGACCGCATAGACTGAGACCAGCGCGGACCGCATGAGACCAGCATGAGACCAGCGCGGACCGAAGAGAGACCGCAGTGACTGGAGAGACCATAGGGAGAGACCAGCGTGGTCCTCCTGCTGCAGCAGTATATATATTCCATTGTTTTGTGACCCGTGGATATATAAATGTCCCCTATCAATAGGATGGGGTCACTAACGGCATGATTTCCAATGTATTTGATAAAGCGTTGGCGCATTAAGTTTACAAATGAATTTAAAAAATGACTAAATTACCATAAACAATGAGATAAATAAATACATACATCAATATGGCAAACATATCACTGTAATGTTGTATTTTATTGAACTTCACAACACGAGCGTGCGAACATGTCGGCTCCTGAGCACTCGTAGGATTTGTACTTACCCAAGAGAAATTCTGCTTACGAGAAATATTTGTGAAGGCCACATTCTTCTTAAAATCCTCGTAAGTAGGATTTACGCACAAATTTGTTCGTAAGAACCGTTCGTGAATGAGGCCCATTGTTCTGCTCATGGAACTATGAACGCTGACATGCACAAGTTTAGTGTCTGAAAAGAACAGACGTGCATCTGTGTGTGTGTGGGAGTTAAAAGGCCCCCCTCATCCCAGTTCATAGTCTTGCAGACATGTTTCCGTGTGCTAATTGCCTTCTTGATCCTCCAATGATCTTACTGGAAGACTGGGAGACATGGTTCTCAGTATTCACTATCTCACCAGCCATGCTGAGTCTTCCCTCTACACACCCGCACCTAAGCTCATCAAGCTGATGTTTGTGCAGCAACCCACCTACTCGTCGTAAGTACCTCTTCAGTAAAGAGGTAAGAGGCAAGCGGTAAGAGTACCTTTTCATGCATCTGCCGGGTCTAATTGTCTAACTATGCAGGTACAACAATTTAATGCAAACATGGCAATAAATATATATTTAACGCATTTTATTTCTTGAGTCTTCAGATTAATATAAAAATGTTTAATACGATTTTCTTTGTCCCCATCAAAAGTGTTGTTTAGTTGCCTCTTTTAAAATCAACAAGTGCCAGTTCATATTTGCCTATTCTGTTCTGTGTTAAGGCCTCCCCGTTGGTCCCCTTATGTATTGTTACATGACAAGAAAGATATTTAATATATGAGATGGTTTGCTCCAGGTTGATTTTACGTTAAAATAGAAGATCTGATGAAATATCAAGGGTGGGAGGAAAAGGTTGATGGTCTCCTCTTTGGTAACCACAACTTGTATATACTGTAATGGTTGTAGCATCTTAGCAATATCAGATTTGAGTGAACAAATAAATAATATTTACAGAGACAGTGGTTAAACAAACACCAACCTGCGAAAAGTAGTCATCGATGAAAACATTTGGAAGCGTGAACCCCTCCATTTTGTCGATCTGAAAGCGTTGATCTGCCTGAGACATTTGGGTTCCTCCCGTAGTCAGTTCTCTAGCAACACATCTGTCCTGTGCTACAGGACAGATCCGCAGATCAACGGATCCTTTGATCCGTTGATCTGCATAAGTCATTTGGGTTTCTCCCATAGTCAGTTCTCGAGCATCACTTCTGTCCCATGCTGTGGAGTTGTAGGTAGACATGTAGGCTGGAGAAGAGGAACTGAGAAGAGGAATATCCTGCACAATATAGGACAGTAACATACTGGGAAATTAGTCAACTAAAATACAGCACTAAAAACAATATGTATTATAATTCAAACTAGCATAGTTTGGTAGAACAGTCACCTTGTCTTCTCCTTGGCCCTCAGTGTGGTAGTTTACCAGCCTTTCTTCTGTTGCAGGGATGTCAGGAAACCTACCTGCCTTGCTTGGTTGTCCCAATTGGCAGGTAGCCATAAAGACAGCAACTGCAGAATACAACATTAATGTCATTCAAGAAACATTATGGACATTATACGTGTATTTTGTTCAGATAAACTTACGGAGAAGTGCCAGGAGAGCCAGGATCATCGCTATCACCCCCAAAGCTCCAAGTGTAGCTCCAAACTCCTTCCGGGCATTTTTTGTCTGGGCCACAGATATGGGTTCACAGCTGTCCATGCCCTCACACAAGCATGCACGCACCTCCAGGGTCTGAGGTTCTGGGCAGGATAGGCCCTGCCGGTCCATAACCTCCACCCAGACCTGGTGGACTTCTCCAGCCCAAAAGACAGTCGAGGAATGAAGAGAGGCATGTGTACCTGTACAAGCAAAAGAAGCCGTATTGGCATTATCAAGAGTAGCCAATAGTTCCAAGATACTATGCACTTTGTACTTTACACTATTTACACTGACCAAATTATATTGTGTAAAAATAATAATAGAAGTGAATAATCTTAACACGCATGCGCCCCCCCTCCAGGTTTGTGGTAATTCTCATCCATGCATTTGTCTCTAGTCTAGTCGGTTATTTTTTTAAATTTTATTTAGACTTTATTAAGGACTCACATGCAAGCACAGGATCCATAGCTAAGAATAATAAAATAAAAGTAAAAATAAAAAGCAAAAAAAAAACAGGTTAGGCTATAGCAATTGATTGTATTGACCCAGAAGATCATTAAAGAACATTTTAGTCAAAACCCTTGGATGAACGCGGAAGTGAAACTGAAACTTCATGAGCGTGCGTTGGCGTTTCAATCAAATGATACAGTTGCTTATAAGCTATCCTGTTACTCATTGAAACGCTCTATTAAATCTGCAAAGCGCAGTTACGGGGACAGGTTAAAGAGTTATTTTGAGGAAGATGACCCTTGGCGCATGTGGAACGGTATTAAAGCCATCACATCGTGGAAACCTAGCGCTGGGAAAATTGCATCTGTCGACCAAGCTCTGCCAAACGAGCTGAACACGTTCTACTGTCGCTTTGAATCCGCTGATGCCTGTCCTACTGTATTTCCTGAGTGTTTCAATCAAGTTGCCTTCACCGTGACTCAGGAGGAAGTCAGGCGTGTCTTGTCCAGGACCATAGTCCGGACGGCCCCAGGCCCGGATGGCATCTCTCCTCGTGTCCTGAAACTGTGCTCTGAGCAACTTGCCCCTGTGCTAACAGACATTTTCAACCTGTCGCTAAGGAACTGTACTGTGCCGAACTGCTTTAAAGAGTCGACTATCATACCAGTTCCTAAGAAAACTCCTGTGTCGTGCCTTAATGACTATCGTCCTGTGGCCCTCACGTCTGTTCTTATGAAAACTTTTGAGCGGCTTGTGCTGGACTTCATTAAGAGCCAGATCCCTGTGAGTGTTGACCCGCTCCAGTTTGCTTACAGACAGAACAGGAGTGTGGAGGATGCCATCTCCTTTGCTCTGAACTCTGTCTACAGTCACTTGGATACTAGTAAATCTGTCGCGAGAATGCTTTTCGTCGATTATAGCTCTGCTTTTAACTGCCTTGTCCCAGGTAAACTGATTGAAAAGCTCATGTCTCTCGGTTTAAGTGTTGCCATGTGTAAATGGATTTTTAGCTTTTTAACTGACAGATCTCAGAGAGTGAAAATCAATGACTGTTTTTCTGATGTTGTTTCTGTGAGCACTGGTTCTCCTCAGGGATGTATTTTGAGTCCTTTGCTTTTTACTTTGTACACTCACGATTGTGTGTCCTCCTCTGACTCAAACTTGATCATCAAATATGCTGACGACACCACCATCATCGGTCTCATCAGTGACACTGATGAATCCTCTTATAGAGCAGAGATACAAAATGTGGTTCAGTGGAGTAAAACTAACAACCTCCAGTTGAACGCATCGAAAACGTGTGAACTGGTCTACGACTTCAGTCGCAATAGTTCTCCCAGGTGCAGATCGTAGAGGAGTGCAAGTTTCTGGGTTTAACTGACCGAGTCGTTAAGAAAGCTCGTCAGCGTCTCTACTTTCTGCGTAAACTTAGAGAATTGACCACTAACTCTAAGATTCTGCTTAACTTTTATCGCTGCACCATTAAGAGTTTACTTGTTGGTTCTGTGTCTGTGTGGTTTGGAAACATCACAGATAAAGATAAGAGAGCTTTAAACAAGGTGCTCCGCTCTGCAAAGAGGACCGTGGGTTGTGAGCTTCCTGTTCTGGAGGTTCTTTATAAATCCAGACTTTTAAACAAAGCTCTTAGGATTGTTAATGACTCTTCTGGCCACCCGGGAAAAGCCATGTTCCAGCTTCTTCCCTCTGGCAGAAGATATCGTTCCCTGAGATGCAGGACATCTCGTTACGCTAACAGTTTTTATCCACAGGCTGTTATCAGTGTGAACAGAGCACTTTAATGATTTGCACTTGTTTTGAAACTGTTTTAGCCAATCGATTTCACAGTGACATTTGTTTACTATTTTATTTGTTTTATTTTATTTCTGTCTTTTAATGTTGTTTTATGTCTGTATTTGTCTGTGCACACTGGTGACTTTTGCTAATGTATTCCAATGTGGGTTTTTTTTTACTGCAAATGGCAAATAAACTGAATCTGAATCCTGACGAGTACCAGGAAGTATGATCACATTAGTCCAGTTCTCAGGTGGTCGGCACTAGATCATATACGGAATCGGGACGGAAGCGGAAGTAAACAAACTACCTATTTATGCCTAAACTTAACCAGCCATTCCCATAAAATAACCCCAACCCACCCTTAACCCTAACCTTAACCATCTTACTCAGACACCTAAAACTTAACCAGTCACCATTTAAGGACTTATTAGTCTAAAACCATTTCGAAAGTAGGATTGTTACTTCCGGTTTCGTCCCGATTCCGTATACGATCTAGTGCCGACCGTTCTCAGGTCTCTGCACTGGCTTCCTGTGGCTTAGAGAATAGGCTTTAAAACAGCGCTGCTTGTGTACAAGTCTCTCCATGGCCTCGCACCAAAGTACAACCAACCTGCTGGTGCCCAGAGTCAGAACTGAACATGGGGAGGCAGCGTTTCAGGTTCATGCAGCTAAACATGAAAGAAAGGATGGCACCCGCACACTGTCCAAATTGCAAACACCAGTGGTTTATTAGCAACGTTTCGGCCACAGGCCTTCCTCAGGCAAAATATACAAATCGAGGTTGGGAGCCATCTTAAATAGGGAGGGGCTGACAACGCCCCTGGATGTAATCAACTATACCAGATGACCAAAAAACTTTCACAAAACGTTCAAAAACTCATCAAAAAGTGGAAATCACCAATATATACATGATGCATGAAGAAAAACATATTATTAGGTTCATGCAGCTAAAATCTGGAACAGTCTTCCTGAGAATGTGACACAGGCGTCTACACTGGCAGTTTTCAAATCTATGTTAAAATCTCTGTTTAATGCACAATGGCTATTTATGATTTAATCCTATGAGTGATCCTATGATAATCCTATGAGTTTCATGTTTTAGGGTTTTTAACTACTTTTTTATCCATCCATTTTCTTCTTCCACGGGGGCAGCAGTTTAAGCAGAGACGCCCAGACTTCCCTATCCACATTCACTTCCTCCAACTCATCCAGGGGGGTTTATTTTTTTATGTTTTTCATGTTTATTGTGATCTTAATTTTTGTTTATAATGCCTTGTGTGATATTAATTGTATTTTTTTTTTTTATATAGATTTTTATATTTATGATTTATGCCTGATATGGTTGTGAGGTGCTTTGTGTTGCCTTATAAAGGAAAGGCGTTCTCCAAATAAAAGTTGATTGATTGAATTATGATAGATGTAATTGTGATAGAAGTTAATGAAACAGTGCAATGACAGTAGCAGAAAAAGTGCAGGAATCACTATGAATGTGAAATTATTTACCATTGATAGGCTGGACTCTCCACTCCCCTCGTGTTTTCTCTGTGACGACTCTGAAGGAGAGGGGTTGTCCGTTGGGATCCTCATCTTGGTCATGTCCTGTGATGTTGACCACATTGGTATCCTCACACACATACACCAGAGTGGACGTCAAGGTGGGGCAGTTATCGTTCATATCCCTGACCTGCAGTGCTATTGTCCCAGTGGAAGTGTAGTATGGTGACTCTGTAGCACATTAGGGAATGTAAATATTTTGGTGCACAAAGTTACAGTTGCACATCTGCTCTATAAAAACATATTTTAAATACATTTTCTGGTAACCGCCTACCGTTGGTCATGGAGAGTATTTTGGCATAGTATGTCCCATTGACCACATGTGGAGACTCTCGGTCTGGACTCTTTTGGAGTTTGATTTCTGCAGTATCTGGATCAACAATCAGCAAGTTATCTGGATCATAGGCTTTTGCATATCTGCAAATACAACACATATGTCACACTTATGTGTATTCAGACTAATGAGCCATTCTAAACACTGCATTGCATCTGTGTTAAACTTAGATTTTTACATGACATTGTCTGCTGGCTTTCCCGTGTCATCGCTCATGGCCTGGTACACTGCGATCACCTTGTCCTTTGGCAAATCCTCTGGATTCTCCGAGACCTGGACCGGCAAGATCTCGGGGTTGAAAGACGCTCCCTCAATCACGTTCTCCACCGCGATGTTGATGTCGTACACTTTGCCTTTCACAGGTCTCTTCTTTTTCTTGGTTGGTGTTTTGTTTTTTGAACCACTTGCACCTGTGTTTGGTCCTGCCCCAACACCACCTCCTGCCCCTGTTGCTCCACCTGCTCCTCCTACTCCTAAACCAGCTCCTCCGCCTGCCCCAAAACCTGCCCCTGCTCCTGCCCCTGCCCCTGCTCCTGCTCCTGCCCCTGCCCCTGCCCCTGCCCCTGCTCCAGCATCGAGATCAGCATCCAAGTCCAAATCTCCTTCACCATCTCCCTCGCCTTCACCCGCGCCATCGCCTGCACCACCTCCTGCACCACCTCCTGCACCACCTCCTGCACCACTGGCTGGGGCAGCATTGGTCACTACTACCCCAAGTTGGATGTTTGGGTTGAGTTCATAATCCGCCGGCTGTAGAGGAAAATACAAAGATGTTAGATCACAAAGGAGAAAGAGAGTAGTTCTTACAGACAGAGGAACCTGAGAAAGCAGCAGCTACAGTAAACCTAAACGAATCCTAAATTGAGGGAATGTAATGTGTCAGTTCAAGTCAGTAACTTTAACTGTTCTAATACTAGGGACACAAGCATCTACAGTTGAAAGTAGTAATTACAGCCTCAATGTAGACATTTAGAATATGTTTGAACTTGTCAATGTAAGTGCTCACAAAACTATTGACTGCAGGAATGCTCAGACTGCGCTATTTAAGAACACAGAAAACAGTTGTTTGTGATCAGATCAAGACATGAGGTAATATTGTTGTGGTTATCCCATTGTGAGTCTTTTAAGCATTAATTCTTCTTTAGGTTTTCCAACATATAGGATTACAAATAAGTATAATTGTTTTTCTACACATTGTATGTGCCTTACCTTCACCAGTTTGAGGATTCCTTCATTTGTCACAGGATCAGTGGAGATGCTAAAAATTCCATCTTCATTTCCGGAAACGATGTCGAACTCAGCGAGCCAGTTTTCTGTTTGCTCCAAGTCTTTGTCATGAGCTTGGATCCTTAAAACCTCTACATCCGCCTCGTTCTCTTTGATTTTAGCAGTGTACTGTAAAAGAGCACACATCATAATACCTGGCTTTTGAAAGCTTTTTTAGTTATAGATATCTGTAAAACAATGTCCTTTGTAGAGTTGTTGTTTTGACTGGAATGCTACATGTGAGGGCTTTAAAGTAATTAAACTCGTCTGGAATGAGCAAACGTGATGCCTATCATTGCAACAGGTGCAAAGATACATACTTTCAAAACATGTACAAGCATATATATATCTGTGTTTTGTTCTGTAAAATTGTTTCTACGTTTTGTTATAAAAAATGTAGGTACTCTTGCATCTCAGCAAGAAGGTCCTTAGTGGTTCGAATCCCAGTCGGAACAGGGTCTTTCTTAGTGCAGATTGCATGTTCTTCCCGTGTCTGCATAGGTTTCCTCCGGTTGCTCTTGTTTTTCCTACCACTAATAACATGTACAATGGGCAAAAATCCTCCAGCTGCGGGAGTCCAGACCAATCAACATCTGGAGTCCCTGGGCGCAGTACTATGGCGACCACTATGAAAGATGGGTCAAATGCAGAAAACAAATGTCCCTATTAAGACAATGAAGACTAACTAACTAAATGCAATAATGTCAAACACATAGGAGCCATTGGTCCATAGGAAACGGGAAGACCACTGTTGATAAATGATCATAAATGTCCTTAAATGTCCCGGGTCCTCACTGTCCTCAGACCCTGTCAGCATTGGCAAGAAACCACTCATAAAAAACCTGAAGGAAAAAGTGAGTAACCTCGGGGAGGGGGCCCATGCATCTGCTCAGTAACTATATTGCATGATTTCTATTTGCGCCAATAACATCAACGGTGGATAAATACATCGTTGTTTGGAAAAGGATGGGAATGGAATGTAGCCATGTGAACGAAACCCTAAACTCAAAGACATGTGGGTGTGAGGTGTTCATACCGAGTCCTTCTCCAGTGTGGGGGGGTTGTCGTTGCTGTCAGTGATTTCGATCTCCACCGTCCCTGTGGCTGATCGACCGTTCGGATCTCCATCCAAGTCCACGCCCTTCACCAACAACGTGTAGGTGTCCTGCCTCTATGGGCCAGAAGTGGAAGAAACACACATGAACTAGAGCTTTGAAACAGACATTAAAATTACAATATAATATGAATACAATGCAAAACATGATAATTCATATTGTTTAGCTCCAATCGTGATATTATTACTTCTGGCATAAACGCCTTTTCAAACTGTAGAAATGGTAAATTCTCAGTCTGTAATGTCATTGACAGAAAGTTTTTTGTATGGCTGTTTCCTTTTTATATTTTCACGTAAATGTTTTCTTCTCCTTTCACATTCCCACACTAGAAATTCTGAACTAGATGTTACGCACATCACATTTGAGTGTCAAAAACTGCACAATAGAGGATTGAAAAATAGGATTGAAGCTGCTGTACCTCTCTGTCCAGTTGGTCTCCTTTGACAAGAATATTCCCAGAGTTTTTCTCGATGTCAAAGTGAAACTGGTCCTCCTTAGGCTCCTGTTTGATAATGGTGTAGGCAATCTTGGTGTTCAGCGTTCCTTGTTTATCTGCATCGAATGCTGTAATTTTTCCCACCACAGTGCCTGCAGCATAACCATAAGTTTCAATCAACAACTATAAATGCATTAATTTGGTTGAAGCTGGAATACCTAACTTTAAAACAATACAAATATGACTACCGGTAGATAAATACAACTGATGTGGTGCCTGGCTCCAAAATGGTTTAGTTCCAACCCTTTTTTTCACATGCATTTATTGTTATTTTTAAAGAAGTCCTTATATGTACTCTTTCGTTAGCATTTGGTAGCCTTTCTACAACATGTTTTTTTCTGTATTTTAAGTTATATTAACCAGTTTCAGCGCTTATTAAAAGTGATTAAATATACAAACCTCATGAATGACTTAGCTACTAACTGGTAAAAAAAAGGAACTATTTTTGGAACAATCTTTTCAGAATTTCATTGGCTTGACAGAGAGTAGTCAAAATGACGACTCTGGAAGTCCTAGTGTTAAGCTCTACTTTGCATTAGGTCATGCATGCTATATGAATGATCCGATGCATGTATGAGCTGACCTGGTGGGCTGCACTCTGCCACAGACATGGGGACCACACTTGAAAACACCGGAGAATTGTCGTTGTCGTCCTCCACCGCAAACTTGAGCGTGATTTCCCCCTCTGCCAAAGTGCCGTTATAGTACCAAGCTGCTCCGGTTAGCTGCAACCACACAATATGGACACATAATAACAGACTATAGCATGGGCACACCCGCTTTCTATGTACACTTCTCTCATAAAAAATGAGAGAGGAAGCCTTCATTCCTCTTTCATACCCACACCGAGAACATAAAAGACGTCAATAGAGGAGAGAGAATAAAATAGGAATGTTGTTTAGATTACATGTTGTGAAGTATTCCACAGCACAAACACACCCAACTGAAGTCGAAGGAGCATGTCAGCCGTATAGGGACATTTTAACATAAGATGGACGTTTTATAGAGTTGTATTGACATTTTATACTTCATTCTTACGTAATGATTATGCTAAAGTTGGAGTTTTTAGATTTACTTCCATATTATGCTAAATAAGATATTTTATTGTATTATTTGTTGCTTACTATTCTGTAAAACCAGTGATGCAACACTAACATTTCCCCACTGGGGACGAATAAAGATCTCTTAATCCTAACCTTAATTTATGGCATCAAGATGGCCTGCTGAACTTTCATACCACATTAGAATGAAATAAAATTCCAGTAGTTTCCAGCTCCCAAAACAGTTTAGGCCTCTGTCACATGTCTAGATCAGATATAAGTTTATTTATAATGCAAAAGATATCATGTTTCTTCCAGGTTCAGCGTGTTGTGGTCTGATTTGTCTGATTTTATTATATACAATATTAATCATATACCACAGCTGTATAGACCAGCGTTTGTCAACCAGTGGACCGTGGCATGTTAGTGTGACTTGCCCAAACCCCGGTGATCCAAGATGGATTTGAGAGTTTGTGGCAGTAAAGTGTGGATTTAAGGAAACCGAAGGATTTAAGAAGAAAAAAAGTTCAGGATGACAAGGGACACGAAAATCCCCACAAAAAACCATCTTTCTGAAAGCTAGGTTTTCTGTCAGCTGAGGTCGTGCTGTTTTAATTTACATTGAGATCTATGGGACTTTTTCTGGGTAGCCCTCGTGAATTTAGTTTGCAGTATACCACGGGCGTCCCCTGTGCCCATGGGTGGGACAGCTATAAGCTAGTAATACCCTATCCAGTTATTATTATAGATCCATGGACTTGCCAGGTTGTTTGGTGTGCCTTTGAAACAATCCAATATCACATAATTGGTAAAAATAATGTGAGATTTTGTGCGTTTGTTGGATTTTCTATATAATATATTTGATCAGAATGACTTTGCTTTCATAATAAAAGCCTGTGTGCGATGTTATTGGCACACAAAGAGGTTGGGGAACAATGGTATAGACTGTAATGGATTAAGAAATACTGTCATTGGGATTATTATCTTTGGGATTAGTGTTGCCTGTAACGTCTGGACAGCTATGATGGACATTCTGCCTGTTTTCATTTTCAAACATTTATCTTTAATTTATGGTGCCACTATTTTGTATGTTACCTGAGTTGTAATCATACACCTGAAGCATTTTTGCAAGTTGATTCATTATGGTTGTAATGAGTAATATGTCAGAGTTTTCTGTGGTATCGTGGAGTGGTGCGCTGTAACTTTAAAGAATCAACCCTGTTAGTAGTGAATAGTGATTGAGTAAATGTGATGATAGTATGGTAGACAGTGAGTAGTGTCAGTTCTCACAGTGTAGTCCTCCCGCTCCTCTCGGTCCAGAATCCCAGTGACGAACACTTTCCCGTCCTCCTCCACCACAAAGCGGTGGTAGGGCCTCAGGTCAGCCCCGTGTCCGGTGAGCGTGTAGCGGAGGCGCCCGTTCATGTCATTGTCGGACCTGATCTGCACATCGACAATAATAACAAAATGTTGTTAATTCGTTCTTTTCAAACTGAGATTGGAAACACGTGTGTACTGAGGGGGGTCTGTCAAACTTTTTTTTTACGTTTTTACGTTTTCTCTCTCTGTGTCCTCTCTCTCTCTGGTCTCGCTCTCTGGTCTCTCTCTCTGGTCTCTTTCTGGTCTCTCTCTCTCTCTGGTCTTTCTTTGGTCTTTCTCTGGTCTCTTTCTGGTTTCTCTCTCTAGTTTCTCTCTCTAGTCTCTGTCTCTAGTCTCTCTCTGGTCTCTCTCTCTAGTCTCTCTCTGGTCTTTCTCTCTGGTGTCTCTCTCTGGTCTCTCTCTCTCTGGTCTCTCTCTGGTCTCGCTCTCTTCTTCCATAATCCAGGATGTGCATAATCATATAAAGTCTGTTTGTGTTCTTTTGTCTCCTTGTTCATATTATTTTATTGTGATATAAATTGTTTTGAGTTTGGGGGATGGAGGGGTCTCTATCATTGGCTTCTTGCTTCAGCCCACTCCTTTAGAGCAGAATTCATATTGGTCATATAATGCTTGCATTGGAGCTGAGCTAGACACATCATCTGAATCACATGACATTTCTATACACAGACAATATTTTTGATGAATTCCAAAAAGATCAAATTTAACCGCAAAGTTATACAAGATTAGCACACGTTTGTTATTTTGTGTCTCATCCTATTGAACAGTGTTGTTATGTCCCTAGGCAAGACACTTCACCCACATTGCCTAGAATGAGTCTGGTGTGTGCTCGTGGTTGGTGGTGGTCAGAGAGGTCGATGGCACATACTTGCCCCAGGGCAGTTGTGGCTACAGTAGTAGTAGAAAGAATAATGACATGTAAAGTGGTATTGTGTTCTATGGAAAAAAATATATACTCAGGGGAGTGTGGTATTGGGTCTGTTTTGGAGATATTGTAATTGGATGATGCAGAATAGAGATTAGTCTGGAGTCTCCCTGAAAAATGTGAGAGAGGCATCTACAATGTTCACATCCAGGTTAAAGACAGTTGTGTTTGCCTGTGCTAAACTAAAAGATTGTGTCTCTATTGTTAAAGCACTGTGGCTATTTATTGTTTCAATCCCATTCTAATGTTTTAATGGTTTTAGAGACTTGTGTGATTTTATGTGTGTGTTTTAATGGTGATCTTGGTGTTTGTTCTATGTGATGATTTTTGCCTTTTGTGATGTGGACTGTGAAGCGCTTTGTGTTGCCGTGTGTAGGAAAAGCACTCTACAAATAAAGATTGGTTGATTGAGAGAGTAAAACAAATTAAACAAAAAGGCAACCTGGATAATAAACATGTTCTATTCCAAACCTCATAAATAAAGTATATTGACACTACATGCTCAGTCGACATAGCTGTTGGGACACACCTCGCACTGATATGATCAGAGAATCATAACATGTGATATGAGGTGCAGCGTTACCCGGGCAACATGGTTGGAGTTGTGATAGTCAAAGTTCTCCTTTAACATCTTGGTTGGGACGAGCCAGTCTCTGCGGTACCTCCTCCGCTGTGAGGCGCAGGTGCAGCTCACACAGGACAAGATCTGCAAAGAGTTCAAGCACAAATGCATTGAGAAGGGTTAGTGTTTTGGGAAATGGGGAGAAACTTATTTATATTTAAGTGTAAAAGACTGTACAATGAGAACTGCTGAGCCTACATGTCATCTCTTCTGTAAATAGTAAATACTGTAATCATGAACAATCTGCAAAGCTGCAGATTGACATTTTATCCTGCCCTATATGTTTATCATTTTTATATATATATATATATATATATAAACATTATAGATATAGATATATTGATAATGACTTACTCCTCCTACGAAGTATTTACAGCCAGCTAAGAAACACAGCAGCCACATATACTGTACATTTTGTGTGCTCCCAGTGTGTTACTGTCCTGTATGTGCGCTGCAACATTGAAATGTCTCCACTGTGGGACGAATAAAGAATCTCTTACATCATCTTATTTTATAATAATAATGATTGTAAAAATTACTTTTAACAACCCGAGATAAGATTATTATTCAATAAATATTACAAACATACTCCAAATAACCTTCTATGGTTTTTTTAGATTCTCTGATCTGTGTTGGCGAATTCAACGGTTGTGTCCTCTGAGATAACTACTGTTGTGATTTAGGGCTTTATAAGAATAAAATGAATTAAATTGAATTTTACATGTATGTCTCAAACCTAAACTAAAACAATCAAACTTATCAAACATAAGCTATATTTCTCAAAAGTTTAGACATTAAAACCAGTTTCTAATCAGACAGTCAAAAGTCAAACAATAACACTATTTTACTGCATAACAAACCCATAAACATAATTTTTGTGATAGTGGCCTCAGTTGCTGTGATTTTCAAAAATCTAAAACATGATGAGTTTGAGACAATAGCAGCTAAATATTATAATAATGCACATTGTTTATGTTACACCATTCCAGCCACTCAAGGTTGCCTTACAAAGGGTACAAATTTAAAAGAAATAAAAACAAATGTATTAACCCTTAGATGTACGAGTGACTAGACCCTACACTCTTCCACAAGTGGGTCAAAAATGACCCGTATTAGAATCAATGCGTTTTTAAGTCATGGTGTGGATTTTGTTATTTTGGACTTTAGTTTTATTTTGATATCTGTTCTCTGTGCTTTGGTTTTAGTTTGACGTCCTGTTTCCCCTGTTATGATTGTCTGCCCCGCCCTGATGTGTTTCACCTGTGTCTCTGTCTATATGTACCCTGTGCTTCTCTCCTCTTGTTGCTGGTCCATTGTATTGTCAACTTCTGTTCCGTCCTGTTCCTGATTTTGTGTTCCTGGTTCTGTATTTTGGATTTTGAGTTTTGTTTTCACCTGGACATTTATTTTATTAAATCATTAGTTTTTGCATTCCTGCATTTTGGGTCCTCTATTATTTCATCACGTGACATTTTATGGCATTTTTGTCATTTCAATTAAGGATAATCACTTGTATAAAATTTAGTTTTATATTTGGAACCACACAAGAATGATTTCATGTTTGAAATCTTTCACTTTTTAACATTTTTGAAAAAGAAAATTACCCAGCACAATAGAAAAATGTGAACATCCATTGTGTCTCTCTCTGTGTACGTGCGCTTCTGTGTATGTATGTGTGTGTCTCTCTGTGTGTGTTTGTTTATGTCTGTGTGTGTGTGATTCAGGGTGGTAATGTCAATCATGTTGTACCACAGCACTATGGGCCACCTCTGTGTTTGGCGCTTGCATGTGTAGGTGCCAGCCAGTGGGGGCGGATCCCGGCTCAAAATCGTCCATAAGCATGTGCATTGATGTATACTTGAAATCCTGGATGGTGATGATTACAGTTGAAGAATACGTTTTGTGGTCCGTCCCTTCTGGCATAAATATATGTCCAGGAGAACAACTTTAACTTAAAAAATGTGAGAGTGTGGGAAGACATGATAAGAAGATTTATTTGGGATGAAAAGAAACCCAGAGTTAAATTGAAACTAATATCGGCCGACCCAGATTTTGCTCCCAATCGTTTAGATGATTCCTTTAAAATATGGAAGACAAGAGGGCTTACCAGGTTCCACAAATTATTTAGTAAACAAGATATGGACTCGTTTGAGAACTTACGGAAAAACTACAATTTGCCTACATCACACTTTTTTAGATTTCTCCAAGTCCGTAGCTATGTTAAAGATTACGAATCAGATTTTCAAAATCCTCACTCCATAATTCAATATATTTAAAAAAAATTATGATAATTTGACATTTAAAACATGTATAGGAGAGATTTATAGAATCTTGATTAATAACAATAACTACGAAAACAATCTTAAAAATTCCTGGGAAAAGGACATGGAAAGCAAAGTAAAAGCCGAGGAGTGGAATCAAGGACTGACTAATATTTATACCAACACAAAATCCCCATATTGGCAAGAATACGCCTGGAAGATCCTCACTAGATTCTTTAGAACACCCCGAGCGATTAGGACGTTTTCCAACTCAATTCAACATTGCTGGAGAGGTTGTGAAATAGAGAATCCAGATGTTGTACATATCTTTTATGCAAGCCCACACTTGGAGCTATATTGGGGTCTCTTTTCAGATCTTTTCAAAGAAATATGTGGCAAAGAAATAACAATAGAAAAACAAAATCTCTTGCTAGGGTTTCAACCCAAGAATTTGAAAAAAGAATACCATTATTTATTTTGGATGTTACGATGTCTGGCGTTGAAGCAAATATCAAGACTTTGGAAGAGTTCTGAACCACCTCGCTTTTAAAAATGTATAGATTCGCTAAAACAATTCTACAGAAATGAAGAAAGGTTGTACAAAGTGAAAGGTAAAAGCGAAATTTTCAAATCGAGGTGGTCAGCCTTTACCCAAATCATAACATAGACAGAGGGAATTTTGTTTATTTTTTATTTATTTTTATTTTTTATTTTTTTTATTTTTTTTATTTAATTTATTTATTTATATATGTATGTGTAATGTATGTATGTATGTGTATATATATATATATATATATACATATATATATATATATATATATATATATATATATATATATATATATATATGTGTATGTGTATGTGTGTATATGTATATGTGTGTATGTATGTATGTATGTATGTATGTATGTATGTATGTGTGTGTGTGTATATATATATATACATATATATTCTTTTTTTTCTGGTTTACTGTGAAATGTGTATGTATGTGTGTGCGTGAGCAGGGGTAGGTGTGTGTAGAGTGTGCATGTATAAGTGTGTGTGTGTATGTGTGTGTATATGTGTGCATATGAATATGCATATGTGTATATATCTGTATATTTTATTTGATTTTTCTTGTTTGGTACAATGGGTGAAAAAAAAAAGTGTCTAATATGGTTTTTGGAACTTTGCCTCGATCGTGTTGAGATGTGAGCAAAGACGCAATAAAGTATTTAAAAAAAAATCCTCTCATTTGTCCCTCTTTGATGATACGTCCATAATCTCAGTTAAAACATAACAAAACACCATCACACTGCAAAAGTTTTTATCTGACTTTGAGTCCATTCTGACTGTTTTAAACAAGATTTGCTAATGGGACAAAGCCATTTAGTCTTATTTCAAAAATTATTATTTTCTCATTACAAGGGAGACATTTTTTGTATCTTTTTAAATCAATATAATTTAGATCGTCCCATTGGCCATAAAATCTTGTTTTATGGCAATCAAATGTGCACAAATTAATATGGATTTAGGGACATTTCAGCAAATTTTCATCACTTTTTGCATTGTAAATGTATAGGCGTGAACACAGAGAGGACACTCACCAGAACAGTCATCTGAAGAAATATCATTGTAGAAATGCAAGTTCACCAGAAAGTCTCTTTGTGTCTTGCAAAACGCTTCCTTCAACTGATATGAGCCTTACTCTTTCAGGTTACTTAATATTACGCAGACTCAGACTCAGAAATGCCGAGGGGACTTCCTACTGGCTGAGAGAGAAGTGATTTGCATATAGTGAACGCATTCCAAAACAGTCTCACATTACCTGCTCCATGTGGGGCGGCACAATGAACGATAGAAAATGATCATAAACTAGATGTATGTTCATAACAGGGACATTATATTACAGATGAGTAGATACTCATGTAAGGTAATGTTACTGTCAATGACTCAGGGAAGGAGCAGGTCTGTGGCTCATGGTCAAAGATCCGGAGGCAGCAACGTAAATATGAGATATATATCTGAACGAAAGACTGAACAGGTCTATTCAACGGAAGACAAACAATTATAGGAAAGACAAAACAGGCATGATGTTGAGTTCTTAGACAAAGAATGCAGATGTTATACTGGGATTTTCAAATTCAACTTGTCTATTTTCAAAGGTTTTACTTTCCTTGTAAGTGAAGGATTTTAATTTCCTGCACACAATCGGAATGTTGTCTTTAAGAAGGGCATTCAGGTGAGTGTGATGTGTAATGACTAATTAACACTAGTCACTGGAGAATGATTACAGCAGTAAAACCATCAGACAGAACCTGTTCGGACACAGAATTCCAGCAGTGTTTTCAAATTCAACCTGTCCATTTTAATTCCAGCAATGTTGTTGGTGAAAGTACAGATGAGTTTGATACATTTATATTGAACAATCACATTTCCTAAATAAAGCACTTCTCATACAAGCAAATGTAACACAAAGTGCTTTAAATTCTGGTTAATAATAGTTTCATATGCCCATGACCTGCCAACCCGACCAGGAGACCACCCAACAGACCCACCCAAAACTGTTGTATTCAGATCTAATAAAACCATGAAAACATATCAGGTTGGGTGCAGATACAGTATATCCATCCAAGGAGCCGCCTGCACCTGCACTAAAACAAGAGAATAAAAAGTAAAAAGTTAAAATGAGAGGCTAAAAAGTACTACAATAAACATCAGTATCATGACTCCTGCAGCTGTCTGAGTGGTATGCAAAAAGCTGCTGATCCGGTGGCAGACATATTTTATGACTCTGGTTGACACTGTGAGTGTCTGCTCATTGGTTTGGCCAAAACAAACACATCATAATATTACTGTAAGAACGGTGTTCCTGCAGGCGGCATCTTGTTGTGTATAAATATCATCAGAAATCTAAGCATTTTTCATCCTGAACCTTATGCAAATACAAAGATTCTCCTGTTTGACATTTCAACATATTGTTGTTAAATATATTATTAAAAATAATTACTACAGAATAAAGAGAGATAAACATTTTCATTGAAAACCTTTGGAATGAGTGATGAAGATAATTATTATAATGACTTTCTGATGTTGTGCCCGGGAAGGCTTGACTCTGTCAGAATCCAAGTTGGGCAGAGACTGGTCAGAACTGGGATGGGAGACAGTAGGGCGGCTGCATGTGACTCTCAAACTCTTGTGTCCTTAGGCAAGACACTTATATAGTATTTGAATCATTGGTGGTGAATTCAGTGAATTGCTTCAGTCATCTTGCCTCAAGGCGGCTGTGGCTACATTACTGTGTAAGGAGAGAATGAAATATGCCATGAGTAGTAGTAGTAGTAGTAGTAATCTACTTAAATCTGACTGAATTAACGGATCACATTTCTAATATTACTACTAGACTACAACTACTAGTACTACTGGTAGGCAAACCCCCCAAGTAGTAGTAGTTGTTAGTATTATTATAGGGCTCAATCTTATAATACTATCTGCAAATAGTTGTTATCAGGTTTGGAGCTCATACCTCTTTTCTGTGGCTATGATTGTGCTATGTTTTGTGCAAAAGTGATTTAAAATAAAATATAGATTTGACGTCAATTGATTGGTAAGTATTTAAAACTCACATTTTCATCATATCAAATTAGTATCAAACTACTCAAGTATCAATTCTAAAGAAAATGTACACACACAGGACATCATTTCTTGAGCATATATTTGGAACTATACAGAAGTAAAAAGTAAAAAAAGAATACAATGCAATACAATTTATTCTTGTATAGCCCTAAATCACAACAGAAGTCATCTCAGAGGACTTAACAAAACCATTGAAATCACCAACACAGATCAGAGAATCAACGGTTAAAACACAGAAATAATATAGAACACATGTTGATAAATGTCCATACATGTTGTAGAATGTTAAAGTGTCCTGGATCATCACCACAGTCCTTCTAGTTGGACACTAACTGCCCAACAGACCGTCCTGCATCGACAAGGAAAAACTCATATGAAAACCCAGTGGGAAAAAGTGAGAAACCTCGGGGAGACCCAAAGTTTGAGAAAGGGATCCGCTCCCACGGACGGACGGGCAATAGATCCAGGACCTAAGCTACAGAACATGGACCAGCGGCCGCTGAACGTGGACAGGTCCGGTGCAGGACTGAAGAACTCCCAGGCGGGTCGGGCAGGGCAGTCCGCAGGTGTAGATGGAGGAGGCCAGGCTCAGAGATCCCGTCATCGTACCATAGAACAGACAATGGGACAACGGGCGAATAGCAATGAACAAACTACAGTCAAAATCCTAATAATGCTAAACAGATAAAGTAGGAAGGAGGAGAGGATAGTGCTCAAGTTACCATACTTCTCCCAGCAAACTGACTCCCTATGCAGCTTGACTGACAGTTTGAGGAGTTTAGCCTTCCCTGAGTCTTACCTTCCTAGCCATATGCTAATTAAAGAGGACCAAGACCGGACGAAACCTGACCGGACAACAACCTAGCCAAATGCTAAGTTGAAAAAGAGTGTTTTAAGCCTGGCCTTTAATGTAGAGAGACAGTGTCTGCTTCCTTAACGTGCGTGAGGAGCTGATTCCACAGTAGAGGAGCTTGGTAGCTAAATGCTCTGCCGCCGACAGTGCTTTTTGAAACCTTAGGGACCACCAGACGTCTGGCGTTTTGCGAGAGCAGTGCTCGGCTCGGTTGATAAGACATTAACATGTCTTGGAGAAAAGCGGGAGCCAAGCCATTTATGGCTTTGTATGCCAAGAGAAGAATTTTAAACTTTATTCTGTACTCCACAGGAAGCCAGTGGAGTGATCTTAACACCGGAGTTATGTGCTCCCTCCTTTTGGTGCCTGTTAAGATCCTTGCTGCTGTATTTTGAACAAGCTGGAAGCTCTTCAAAGAGGCTTTAGGGCACGCTGCCAGCAAAGCGTTACAGTAGTCAAGCTTTGAGGTGACAAACGCGTGGATTAGTTTTTCCGCGTCACTTTTAGGAAGGATATTCCTGATTTTAGCAATGTTCCGCAAGTGGAAATATGCCGTTTTAGTTGCTTGGTTTGTATTAGCCTTAAAGGAGAGTTCTTTGTCAAAAACAACTCCAAGATTCCTCACAGTGTTGCTGGGTACAATACTGACATTATCGAGAGTGACTATCTGGCCGGCGAGAGAGTCACGCAGGCTCTTCAGACCGAGTAGGATCACTTCTGTTTTCTCCTGGTTAAGCAGTAGAAAGTTAAGAGTCATCCACGTTTTAAGGTCCTTTATGCAGTCACTAAGCTTTTTCAACTGATCTGTCTGATTTGGTGTCATCGACAGATAAATCTGTGTGTCATCTGCATAGCAGTGGAAATTAATTCCATCCTTTTTAATGATGTTTCCTAATGGTAGCATGTAGAGAGTGAAAAGAAACGGTCCGAGCACCAATCCTTGGGGCACACCGAATTCTACTCTAGAGTAGGGTGACAAGTTTTGATTCACATTGATAAAGTGATGCCGATCTGATAAATAGGATTTAAACCAGCCAAGGGCTGTTCCTCTAAGACCTACAGTATATCACATTCTAGCCTCTGCAGTAGAATGCTGTGGTCTATTGTGTCAAATGCAGCACAAAGACACTTGTCCATTATCAGCAGCTAGTAGTAAGTCATTTGTGACTTTAACCAGAGCCGTTTCAGTGCTATGATGAGCTCAACAAATGAACAAATAAAATAATAAGGTTAGTAGCAATATGTAAGATTTTCATGTCAAGTCATCCTTAAATTCGAATACTGATCACAATAGTTCAGCCAAGTATTAGTTTTACAGCCCCTAAATCTTGTTATTGTTTTCATTTCGATGTCCCGCCCTCCACCATTTCACCAATCAGAAAGTCTGTGATCCAGGTTGCCAGAAATCACAGCATCGAGCTTATCTCACTGGTAAAGAACCATGTGGCCGCAGAACTAAAAAAGGTCTCATTATGATTCTCAACTCATTATGATTCTCAACTCATTAATGACGAATGATGAAGGAATAAAACCAGGATTTCTATCTTTGTGAAAGAGGTGTTGGTTATAGATTTGTTGTCGACAAAACTCTTTATTCTGATATTATGGTCCCAGCTGGATTTGTCTGCATATCTGGCAATCTGAGTCAGGGAGAGTGAGAGAGGTTGCAGTACCACTTTTGGCCACATTTTTACATACTGCTTTTTTAAATGTTCTATGATGTTTTGTGTGTGAAAAATTCAGCTCATAAAAACAGCCAAACCGATATTGAGTTTATCAATTACATTATTTTGACCCAGTCAAAGCACACGAGAGGATCTGGGAAACTTCTGTGGATGGGGTTGAATCTGCTTGTCTTTATTGATTCATTACTTTTTCATTATTTGATTGTATGATAAGAAACGCTCGCAAAATTATTGAAATTTGTTGATTTGATGGATTTCTGCACAGCTCAACTGCTTTACAAAGCCAGTAAAAAGTCTTTACCAACCAACATCCAATCTCAATTTATAGAAAGAGAAGATGGCCACAATCTGAGGGGAAATGGTAAACTTATACCAAATGCTGTAAGAACCACGAGGAGAAGTATGTGTGTCTCAGACTGTGGAATAGTTTGGATTGGAATTTAAA